TCGAGAAGTCTAGAAGCGCCAGATTGGCGCAACTGTTGCTTAACGTTTTTTGCCATCTCTGTAACATCGAAGGTTAATATGTGGACAGGATGAGCGGCGCTGCTATAAATCAAAGACAAACCTCCTAATGTTTAAGTCGGAAAGTTTTTGTAGTGAATTCATATAATCGTACAGATCTTCAAAGATGCAAGTGCCTTCGCCAAGTATACAGTCGCCACTGAAGAGTGCGCCTTCTTCCTCGAAATACAGGGACATATGATCGGATGTATGTCCCGGAGTTGCCAGGCATCTGATATTTTTTTACAATTTGTTGAAAACTTCCATGGTTCTGTTTCTATAGAGCAAGCATTTGGCAAATAATAAGTATCACTGGTGATAACTAGACAAAATATTTCCATTGCGATGCTAAAGCCCAGAAATTTCCAGAAATTTCCATACTCAACCTTAACAGAGAACTTCTAACAGTAAGCGGTAGGTTCTACTCCATAATCAAATATCAAATCTTTATTATTGGGAAAGTTGCTAGCAACGCGAATGTATTCCTTCAGTCGTTTTGTAATTTTTGAGCTTAGTTATTAACAACCTTCCTATCTCTTCTAAAACAGTCAAGTTTGAGGAAGCGCGCTGGAAGCCAACAGTTACAAGAGTTTGCATGAGAATCGGATTCTGCGCGAAGAGATAAGAGGGGTTGAAAAAGAGATTAGGGAGATAACTGAAGATTACTGATAACTGATCAGTGGGAACAAAATAAAATAAATGATAAACTAAATGAGGTTAAAACTGAAAAAAACTCAGGCTGGAATGCACCAGGCTTGCCGGCGTGACCATGCGGTTTTGCACTAAACTCGCAAGTCGCTAATAGCAGGAATGATCCCTGCGCTGTAGCCTAACACTGAGCTCATACTGGGCGTGCTTTGGCTTCTTCCGACATGCGGGAGAAAGGGCGCCGGTGAAGATGAAGGTGTTGAGTTATAGAGCCGCATGGAGCTCCTGTTTTTTGCATGAAGCCCGATCGTCTTTCGGTAAATGCTCGATTTTAAAAAAACGAAAAATACAAATTTCTTGCAAAAATCCCAGTCTTTCAGTAAAAAGTGGAAGTGTTGCTAGAGCGATCGTTCGTCAAAAAATCCAAGCAGGCAAATGAACTGAATGTTCATTTACATACTTGGACGAGGGCGGCCGTTCGTTGCAAAACGCACTCGTTTCTGATTTTTCGATAAAATTTAATATTTCTCATGCCCACTTATAGAGAATCTCATCTCCAAGCAGCATTAAGACCACACTTGAAAGTGGAATATCCAAGCAAATTTTCAGCCTCACAGCTTATCCGGTAAGCGAAATATCCGCTTCGCTACAAATATCTTCCAAGTGCCCTAAGTCGTGGCGCAAGTGCAATTCGTTAATTATTTTAGGTATACAATTTCACATATGGGCAATAAACATGTTGAAAAAATTTTAGCCACTGTTTTCCGACAAGTTTTCGAGTTAGGGCAATACCAAGTGCAAACTTTGACGCAATCTTGCGTGATGTACAAGCGCGCGCGACATCTGAATTTGATGTTTAGCTCGCACATGCAGAGAGAATATCCCTGCAAAGTTTCAGCTTTGTACCTTGCCTGGTTCGCGAAATCGTTTCCCATCAAAGAAATTTGCATTTTTTTTCGGGAGTCCGTACGCGAGGTCTAGGCGCGTATGAACAAAAATTTTAAAATGGGAGAATGACACAAGAGATAGGAACATATACGCAAAATTTCAGCTCCCCAGTTTTCCTAGTTGCTTAGATGAAAGTGAGTGACAAATTCGAAATCCACTGTAGCAGCGTTATAGCGCTACACGCAAAAACACATAAAAAACGACTGCAGTAAAAAATCAGTGAAAAAATTAAAAACAATAAAAATGCTTTCTAATTTTCTCCGGGAGTCGGTCATGCTCAGTGGTGCTTGGAACGTGGAGAGAATCAACTGTGAGGTGGTTTCAATGAAATATTCGATTTGTTACAAACGTTTCGACGTGTGCTTGAAAACCAAAGCATTTGTGATGGTTGCTACAATACCTGAGGGTAATTCCTGGTGCTTTTATGACATGTCCTGGCGATATGTAGTCATACTTGACCGGACCATTTTCTGGCGAGTCTGTTCTTTCGAATTTATAGACCGGTACTGGCCCATTCGTGATCTGCAAAAAAGACACATACGGAGAGAAAATTCCATGCGCACCCTTTCTGCAAAACTACTCTGGAGATAAAATTTAATGAAACCCGTAAATATCTGAAAGAAAGAAAAATGCGAAAATCGCTCGCCTCGATTGTTCTAAAAATGGCTCGTTAAAAACCCGCTCCGAAAAAAAAAATGCAGAAAATTAGCTCTGATGGACAAAACTCATTTGGGCAAGCTTTAGCTTGTGTGTGAAATTTAGCCAAAAAAGCATTAGGCTTAGTTCCAAATCTCTGTAAATTCAACACATTGAAAATTTAGTAATTGGGCCAGCGGAACACTAAATTCAATGCAGAAAAATGTTGTACTGAGGAGGCACCAAATTCAGCAGACTGGTTGCGTTCTTTTCTTGCAAACTGCCTAGAGTAGAGTAATAACAGCGAAAATAAATATCAGCAATAATTTTCAGTTTTAGCATAAAACTAGTTGAAATTCTGGTTTTCCTTGAAATTCACATTTTTCATCGCTACAAAATTAACGAACCATTTAATTTTCCTGTCTCCCCAAAAAACTAAAATTTAAAGCCTCATAAATTTTATATCCAAATTCTTGGAAGAAGAGACAAGGAAAAAAACAAACATGTTCGAAAATGTCGCGTATACCACCCACATGATCGTCATGCCAGTG